TGAATTTGCATGAGGTGCGCCTCATGATAAGGGTGGGAAAGAGGTTGGGTTTTCAATTTGATAATAATGATGAGGAAATACAATCTAAGTTGATAAAGGTAGAGGATCGAGAAATGGCAGGGAGGAGAGACGAGTTGGGGGTGTAAGAGTGGGTGTGAGGTGTGGAGTTGTGTGATTAGAATTGATTAAATGAAGATTATATCTTTTAATGTAAGGAGTTTGGGTGGGACGGTGAAGAAGGAAGTGAGAAAGCTGGTTAGAGAGGAAAAGCCGGATTTTTTGTTCTTGTAGGAAACAAAGTTAGAGAGGATGGATGTGGGTATTTGTAACCATTTATGTAATTTTGATGAGTTTGACTGGGTTGTGAAGGGCTCTTCTAGAGCCTCAGGGGGACTGCTATGTATATGGGATAGGCGACATTTTGTTAAGAGGGAAGAGTTTACCGGTGATGGGTATGTGGGAATATCAGGGGAATGGGGAGTTAATAAGCAACAGTGTTGTCTAATAAATGTGTATGGCCCAAATGATAAACAGAAAAGGGCTAAGTTGTGGGAGGAGTTGAGGAAAATGGTGATTGACAAGGAAGGGCGGTGGTTGATCGTAGGGGATTTTAAGGCTGTTAGAGGTCCTGAGGAGAGGCGAGGAAAAACAAGGGTGAGTTCAGATATGAGGGACTTTGAGGAGTTCATTGTGACAACAGGTTTGGTGGATGTTAAATTGACGAATAGACATTATACATGGTATAAGCTAGATGGAACAACAAGGAGCAGATTGGATAGATTCTTGTTGAGTACTGAGATGAGTAATATGGGAGGAGAGTGGATACAATAGGGATTGCCAAGGAATGTTTCTGATCATTGTGTTATGGTTTTGAAGTCCAAAACAATAGATTGGGGACCAAGGCCTTTTCGAGTTTTAGATGCATGGCAACAACATCCAGAATTCAAGAAGGTTGTAGAAGCTAAGTGGAGAGAGATGGTAGTGGAGGGGTTTGCAGGGTATAAATGTCAACAAAAGTTAAAACTGTTATAAGAGTTTTTAAAAGGCTGGAACAAGGAAGTATTTGGGAACATGGAAGCTCAATATTTGCAGGCTGTAAAAAAGATAGAGTAGGTTGATATGCAGAATGAGGTATTTGACTTGGAAGAATTCGAGATTGCTAAAAGGCAGGAAGGCTTTTCTGAGATGTGGGATTGTATGAGAAAAAGGGAACTAATCTGGAAGCAGAAGTCAAGGAGCAAGTGGCTATGCGAGGGTGATGCGAATACCCATTTTTTCCATAGAGTGGCTAATGGGAGAAGGGCTCAAAATAGTATTTTAGGCTTAATGTGTGATGGGGTGTGGATTGAAGATCCAGATGCAATTAAAAATAAGATTGTCAAATATTTTCGAAGTTTGTTCCAAGGTGATTCATGGAATAGACCCAAGCTCGGTGGTATTAAATTTCAAAAGATTTCTGAGGAGAAAAAAGAATGGCTAGAAAGA